CCCCATACCCCTGGGGGTCCCATACCCCTGGGGGCTCCATACCACTGGGGGTCCCATACCACTGGGGGCCCCATACCACTGGGGGCCCCATACCACTGGGGGTCCCATACCACTGGGGGCCCCTTACCCCTAGGGGCCCCATACCACTGGGGGCCCCTTACCCCTAGGGGCCCCATACCACTGGGGGCCCCTTACCCCTGGGGGCCCCATACCCCTGGGGGCCCCATACCACTGGGGGCCCCATACCGCTGGGGGCCAGGACACAAAACCCACGCGGTTCCTGCCCGACTCTGGCATGATGGCACATCACACTTGCCTTGTGCCTTCAGCAACAATCATGGACAAAAATACTTGAAGCAAACGCTGAAGGCACTGGACAGCCGGCAGCAGGTGTGCAGCCCCCGACGGAAGGACGCCACCTGCGCGCCCACGCGCTCGAGCCCTGCAAGCTCCCCGGGCGCAGTGCGAGCCGAGCAACAGGGCGCAGGAAGACCAGCTCACGCTCAGCAGCACAGGGGCGCGCGACACGAAGGGGAGCCAGGAAGGACTGCAGCACGCGGCGAAAGCGGACGGACGGAGGTGGACTGAGAGCAAGGTGGGCCGGGCCAGGAGCCGCCAGAGCGCCACCCGAGCGAGCACAGAGACCTTTAAGACCGTCCGCCGGGATGAGCGTCTTCCGTCCGGCCGGCCTCTCCTGGATGGAGAGCAGGCCCTCCAGAAAGCTCCGGACGCAGGGGCAGGCCAGTGGCCGCTCCCCCAGAGGGCATCTGGGCAATGTCCAGACATTTGGACGGTCATCGTGGGCGTGCTACTGCCATCTAGCGGCTGGAGACCAAGGACGCTGCAGCACCGCGCGGGCTCGGACCGCGCCCTCGAGGAAGGAATTCCGATACATTTTGCTGAGTGCGCGCACCTACAGTATTTAAACGACAATGGAATGCCCTTCTCTGACAAAACTAACCAAAAAAGGGGATACAAATGAACGACCATTTTGTATCTGTATACTCAAAATAGGATAGATATACGGCTGCATTCTCTTAATTCAACGAATAGAGAGATTTATTCTAATAGTGTTTGTGGACAGGATATCATGTCTCCATCTTGTATAATGAATAACCACTAAGACAACAATATGCAATGTATTAATTATTGAAACTGTGCTAGTAATCGGTTCTGAAACTGTCTCATTGCTATTTGTTTCTCAATAAAATTATTCTTAAGAAAAGAACTCCAGCCAGAGTACTCAACATACCAACCACGTAGGCGTTGGGAACCCCGCCCTCGAGTGAGGGCTGCCTGCGCCTGGCCTGCGTGGCAGCTCCTAGCCAGCTTCCTGGGTGGCCCCCAGGGCCGCTCCCTCCTACTCCCCAGGCCCCCACCTGGGCCCCTGGTCCAAACCCGTGCAGACCCCTCGGGGAGAGGCTGCGTGGGAGGAGGGGCAGAGGCCTGGCCGCCGGCAGCACTGAGCCGGCCGGCCAGCAGGGAGCCACCGACAGTGCCCCGAGTGGCAGCTTAATTACAGTCTGCTGAGGAGAAGGCCTAAAACAGGACCGCAGAACTTGATCATTCCAGGACCCTGATCCTCAGAAACAGTATACTGAGGAATTTTTACTGTTGGTTTAAAGTGCCAGTTTTGGGAGTGATTTATCACATAGCAGTAGGTTAATAATACAAACCTGCTTCAGCAAAGCCAAAAGGAAGCCTTGCCAGGGGTATGGAGAAGGGCAGCGTGTTTACTGCCTTTTAAAATGAAGCTCTTTAAAGGAAGAAAACATACTCAAGATGCTTTCAAATGCACAAAGCACAATGTCCAGCATATAGCAAAAAATTACTAGGCATGCAAATAAGCAAGAAATATAGCTCACAATCAGAAAAAGTAGCTAAACTATACCCTGAAATGGCCCAGATATTAAAATCTGTAGACAAGGATTTTTAAAAAGATATTTAAAAATATGTTTAAGAACTGAAGGGAAAATATTATCTCATTGAGTGAACATGTGGCAAATTTGAATGGAAAAGGGAAATTTGTGAAAGGGAAAAATGGACTTTTATAACTGAAAAAAATATGAGAAATCGAAAATTTACCAGTTTGCCTTAAAAGTAAATTTGTGATGGCAGGAGAAAGAATGAGCTAGAGATAGATTCATAAAAGTTTCCATTTGGAAGAAAAGAGACAAAAAGTAATTTCTGAAGCAAGACCAGAATCACAGTGCCTAGTGAGAGGACAGCAAGCCGCCCAATGTGCCACTCTAATCTCAGAAGAAAGCAGGGGGAAGGGGAATAAGAAATATTTTTTAAAAATAATATTGAAATTTCCCCAACTGTGGATAAAACATGACCGACCAACTCAAGAAACTAAATGAACCCCGTGAAGGACACACCCGGTGAGAAGCACAAGTAAGCACCGCATAGTCTAACTGCTGAGAAGCAAGGCTAAAGAGGAAACGTCAAAGTAGTCGGACCAAAATAATGAGATGTACAAGGGAACAAGGACACGAATGACAGCTGTCTTCTCATTTGAAATAATGGCAGCTAGATGATCCCAGAATGACATTCAAATGGAAGGACAAACCATAATCTAAGAATTTAGACAAAATCTTCTGCAACAATCACGAAGAAGGGCTGGGGACGTAGCTCAGCAGGACAACCCTGCCGGGCAAGCACGAGGTTGTCATGAGACCGATTCCCAGTCCCCCCACCCCCCCCAAAAAAATGAGGAAGAAATAAAGATAATTTAGAGGCCTAAAAGCTGAATCCGTTGCCAGAAGGCCTCTAGGATAAGGTATATAACGCATACCAAGAAGAGTTTCAGGCAGAAAAAGAATGGTAACCAAATAGAAATGTAGACCTACAGGGAGGAATGACAGACAAAATAGGGAAACACGAACATTGAAAGCATTAGCCTTTCCCTTAATTTTCTTGAAAGCAAAATGTTCATTTAAAGCAAAAGTAACAGAATTATATGGCGAAGTTTATATTAGACATATAAATGAAATTATGACCATAGCACAGAGAACAGGAAGAAAAAGAGAATGGAGAAAATGAAGCTGGAATTCTATTAGCATTACACATATTCTTAAAGCATGAATAATAATTGTGAAGTAAACATTATTAATTATAAGTATACTGTGATAAGAACACATACTACAATTTCTAAAACAATCGCTAAAAAATTTTGAGAAACAATAGCTGAATGCCAACACAGGAAATTTTTTTCAAAGAGTATCTCAAAATATTTAATCCAAAAGAAGACTGTGAAGGATGAAGTGGAACACACAGCAGATGGGGAAAAATGCAAAACAAATAAGCAGATATTAAGCCCACACCCAGCTACACTACTAATCTGCTCTGCACAAGCCACTCACTGATTAAGAGGCGTGATTATCAGAATCATTTTTTCAAAAGAGTGACCAACTATATGAGTATGAAATTCAAAGACAAGTTAAAAGTAAAAGGAGGGCAAAATGGTGTAACACAAAACTGGTCACAAAAGAAAGCTTATGACATAAGACAAAGTACATTTGAGGGGAAGAGTTTTTACAAGTATTTCATAATAACAAAAGGTCTAACTCAGTAGGAACTCATAACGACTAACTGAGGTGCTCACTTTGTTTGCATCTAATAATTTAGCTTCAAAATTTACACAGCAAAAACTGACTAAGAGTAAAAGAAAACCAGGGCCAGGGAGCTAGGCTGGCAGGCTGAGTGTCTGTCCAGCAAGCACAGGACCCAGGCTTACTCCTCAGTACCTCATGCCATGCTGGTCCCAGAAGTCCAGGCATGCGGAGCCGGCCACGGAACCCAGGTGTGGCGGCACACGCCTGCAACCGCAGCGCTGCTGAGGCTGAGACAAGAGCATCGCCATGAGTCTGAGCGGCGTAGTGAGGCCCTGTACCAAACAAATAAATAAAAGATTTTTTTTTAAGTAAAAGAATTGCCCAGTCATGAGTGGAATGCTAGCACCTCTATCTCAGAAATATTATTATTCTTTGTACTGGGAATTGAACTCACAACCGCACACTTGTTAGGCAGGTGCTGCCCTGCTGCCTGCATCCCTGGCATATCTCAGAATTGATAGAACAGAGACAAAAAATAGATAAGAATATAAAGATCTTAACATTATCAATAACTTTGATATCATTAACATTTTTAGCATCTTACTATATGTACAACTTCAAGGTAGACATTATCTTCAAGTGTGTAAAAAAGAAACAAAATATTTTAACTTATAATTTTTATAAATGTTATATATTTATGGAGTATGGATACTAATATATTTATATTTTTTAAATTTATAATGCTGATGAAAACATCAAATTTTATAGAATGCATTTCACAGTACCTAGAAAGAAATTTATTTCTGCATATGACCACAATAAGAAAAAAATGAAGATGAAAAGCCAGCAGCTTGAGAACCGGGGATGCAGGTCAGCGGGGAAGCACAGCGCAGCCCCCGCGCGAGACCCTGGGTTTGATCTCCAGCATCAAGAAACTTAACACTTTGAATTTTACGTTAGCAATCTGAAAGGGAAGACTATGTCAAGCCGATAGAAAGAAGGAAAGAAAGAACAAGCAGCCAACATCAATGAAACTAAAATGAGCAAATAACATAAAAATAACAAAACCTAAAGATATCTCCTTGAAAACATTAATAAATTTGAAAAACACTGGAGATTAAGTAAAAGTATAAATTACAAAATATATTTTTAAATTTTTAATTCATGGAGAAAAATTATACAAGCCTGATGCATGATTTATGACATGAGACACTTTTACATATGGGTGTATGCGTGTGTGTGCGCTCGTGTGTGTGCATATGTCTATATACACATATGCTCAAAATAGCCGAAGTACAACAGAAGCATCGTTACAAACCCTAGAAATATTGAAAAATAATGACATATTACCAAAAAGCTTACAGCAATGAATTCAACCATTTAGATGAAATGGAAAATTTACTTGAACTTCACAATTTAACAAAAGTGACACAAGAAAAAGTAGAAAAAATAATTAGCCCTACTCGCCAGTACGCTATTGCTTTCTAACCAATCCCAGTGCTTAGTAACTTAAAATCACAGCGATCATTTTGTTGTTGCTAGGTTGCTTGCCTTCGGCTGGACGGTTCCTCTTCTCCAGATGGGGGAGCTGGGACGACTCACTGCTGTTCCACCTGGCAGCTGGGCCACGCTGAAGGCCACGAAGGTCATGACGCCCACATTTGCCACCTCAGCCTCCCCTCCACACCCCTGGACGTGAGCCACTTTGTAGTGTGGTGGGCTCAGAGTCATCAGTTTTGGGGGTTTTGGGTTGGGGGGGTTGTATTTTAAGGAAGGGTCTACAGGGTAATCAGGGTCTCACTGCTAGATCAGACTCGAGTGACCTGCCTGTTTACAGCCTCCCAAGAGCTGGGATTACAGGTGCGCCACCACGCCCAGTCTCAATCACCCTCTCAGCGTGCCCCGGGGAGGGGGCTGGCAAGGCATCAGAGTCATCAGTTTTGACACAGTAGTGGGGTCAAGAGAGAAAGAGGGAACTGTTTCTAAAATTTATATAAAAATGCATAGCACCTATAACTGCAAGACAATTTTGAAAAAGTGTGACAAGGTCAGAAGACTCCTGGTATCTAATTTCCAAAACTTGCTAAAAAGCTAAAGCAATCCAAATGACAGTAATTCTTAGGGGGAAAAACATGAACACAAAGATCAATAGGACAGAATAGCGTCTAAAGTAGAGGCAAGCACATACTGAATTGATTTTCAACAAGGTG